TAGGGGTTGCTGTGATTTTTCAGGATAATTTAAAGATAAGACAGCAGGTCAGTAAAAGAAGTACTAAAGAAGTTAACAAAAAAATGACAGAACTTTTATTTCTTCCCAATAAATGAAGAACATGTACAAATACATACTTAGGTACATACATAACAAATAGCTTGGTATCTTTTCATAAAAAAGAATCAAGATATGGAACTAATGGAAAACCTATAGTGCCTTGGGATCTTTCCTATGTGACAAGATGACCATATATGATTCTTCACATAAAAAATGGATTTAAGGTATTAGTAATAAGAAAGAACTCATGGGCCACATCTCTCACAGTACAGACCCAGTGAACCAGCAGCTAAGTAGCAAAGTTTTCATTTGAAGTGGAGCAGCATGCACAGCAATCTCACCTTCTGATTCTATTGCCAACGCCAACAATCTAAAAGTACCCTCTGAGGAAATGGTCCTTATGCAACACCTCTTTAATACATTCTCACTCCAGCAGGGAGTGAGAACATCAAAGGGTTTTCCAGGCTGGGGTTCTGGAAACGTTACCTTTGAAGCATACTTTTTTTTTTTTGTAGATAATACAAACAGCTAAATTGTGGTGGCGCTGCAAAACCATACAGATGGAAAGACTGGTTAAATGGGCTGCTAATCTTGTGGTGTAACTGTCTCCTCAGGAGGGAAAGAAGGGAGCAACAAACAGAAAAGTTCAGCCCAGTTCTCTTAAAGGGCAGGTCAGAAGAAATGAAAGGAAATGGATGTGAGGTCTCTGGAATGGGAGCGGGTCATTTCCCACAGATGATCCTATCCTGGGACTTCCTGGATAACTGCTGACCACATGCTCCCTTGGCTGTAAGCAAGGAAGGAAGATTTAGCTGTCAGAAAATAGAGCAGAGCTGCTAAGCAAGGATAGAGCTTGTGAGACAGCAAGGCTTTAAAAATGGAAAATATAGTTTCTCAGAATAGGAAAACAATAAACACAGTTTATTTTCTTCAAAGGAGATAGAACAAAACAAAGGGAGGAAGTGCTGTTCTTCCTTCATCCTGCCAGATTTTCAGTGGAAAGTCAAGAGTGTGTATCAATCATGATAAAGGTGAAGAGATGAAGGTGATACCACCTTTCAGTTTTTGAAAGGGAAACACAAAGTTGAATCCTATAACACACTGTTCTTCATTTTGTTTTTTCAAAGATGCAGTACATGCTGCACTAAGAGGAATTCCCACAGAAGCAGGCCCAAACATGCAAGCATGACCTGCCTTCGAAGTTCCCATGTGCTTCTGGTTTCTTAGCACTCAAGGCAGGGATCTGGGCTTTACAAACTTCCTCTTGCCTCCAAAACAAAGATGATTCAGGAGCTCCATGAATTAAGTGCTCATGACCCTCAAAGACTCTTGCTTTGCTGTGACTTCAGAGTATATTTCTGGTTTTTGTATAGTGAAGAATCAAATACTTTTGAGTATAAATACTTTTCAGGAAGTGCTAAGAGTTTAAATAGCAGCAATATCTTCCATATTTTGTATAAAACTATAAAAACAAATTATTTATATTAATTATCACATAGTCACACAATTAACTTAATAATCTTCCCTTGGGACTCTGATGTCATTTCTGGGATGGAAATCAAATTTCAGTAAGTTCTAGTAAATAGGAGTGTAATAATATACAGAAAGTACCTCCCTTACAAAAAGTCACAAGAAAATGGTTATAAGGATTTTGTTTGTGATTCAGAATTTTTGATCCCAGTATACATTTTAAAATAACAAAAAACAATAGTTGTTCAAAAAATAGTGGTAGTCCTAAGCAAACCTGAATAAATCTATTTATCCCATCATATATCTAAAAGACAGTACTGTATTTAATAGAAGAGGAGTGATAATATACTATAAGAAACAATTATACACAGTGAATTAAGAACCTACAATTGCCCAGAAATAATGGTAAGAGCTTTCCATGAATTCACTCTATTACACAAACTTATGATTCAGATTAGGAAACTGAGCCTCAGAATGATTTTGTATCCTGCTTTACAATCACACAGCTCAGTACCTCAGTATACACAAAACTTGCATGCTAGGAGTTAAGTCCAGAGAAGATGTTAAGGGTTAGGAGGCCTGGGCCTTTGGTGTCAGCTCACTGTGAGACACTAGGTTACACAACTACACTGGACCTCTACGTTTTCATCTGCAAAATTAGATTGGACTTACTGGTTTGTACTAGTCCTTCAGTTTAAAAATTCTATTATTCCTTTTGCTAATTTCCAGATGGTGAAAAATGCACTCTGGGTTAAAAACTAGGTTAATGTCAATGTCCTTTTCCCCCTTATCTTAGGGAGGGAAAGAAGTGAGAAAAAGGAATTAGTTGTGGAGTCAATAATCCTAGAGAATATATGGGAAAAGGGAACAGGAGTAATCAGATGGGAATGAATGCAATGGTTTAAATTCCCTGCAAGAGTTGTCAGTAGTACAAACTTGGTGTTTGCCAGCATATATAAGGGCTGGTTGGAAGATTTCTTTCAGAGGAAGATTTTATTCTTGTGGGACTACAGTTAAACAGCATGCACAACCAAAATGTCTTCCCTTTCCTCCTATCTCAGAAATAAGGATATACACCCACTGAAGTGTTCTGAGTTTTTCTTTAGCAACCAACAAACTGAAGAAGTGAAGTGGTTTTCCCCTATACATGTGTCCCTTTTTTTATTCTCCACTTTGATCCTTTGTTATGTAGCAAGGTCTTTGTGTAAACAAAGGACTTGAAAGAATGACCATCTGTATTCAGAAAAAAAGTATCTAAAATTAAAGTTTTTATAGCATTTCTCTTTGAAAAGAGAAAGAGCTTCAGAGAGGAGAGGAGACAGAAGCTCAGGTCTCTCTGCCTTTCGGAAAGGTTGGATGTGCATGAATCAAGTGGAGGAAAACAGGTGAGGCTGCATCGTCATGGCTTGGGTCACTAGTGCTCTTCAACTTGTCTGTTTTACTATGGATCTCCTCAGATCATTTAATCAAGAGGGAGAGGGTAGAAAAGATGATGGGTAAGAAAAGGAAGGGTAGAATAGAATTCCGTACCATGTAATGTGGCAAGGTGAAGTGGGTTTGGGAGCTCCTATACAGAACATTAAAACATAAAAGAGGTGATTGGTATAAGCATAACTCAATCCAAGGACTGAAAGATATCCTGGAGATTGTTTAGTCTTATCTGGTTTTCCAAATGGGAACACTGATGTAGAGCATCATGAGGAAAAGTTGAGGCAGGCTGTATGAATGCTCTAAGTAGCTCATTTCCTTCTTTACCAGGTAAAACATTCTCTCCCAGCCATCTGCTTTGGGGAAAGCTCAGTGAGGGCAGGAAATGAGTCCTAATGACTTTCGCATCCCTACACATTCCAAGTTTGTACCAAGCAGATACTCAGTACATTGCTGAATTAATGCATAAGTAGATTAATGGAGATAAACTTTCTAAAGAAATGAATTAAGCCTACTTGGCAATCAATATAATAGCCTCATGTATTTGCTAACAATGACCAGACCCCTCAAACTTTCTCTTCTTCAGATTAAGTAACCTTAAATCTCTCAATCAAAGCTCGCTGTTCTGGTAATCTAACTTTGTATGAAAATCTCTCATCATTTCCAACATTTCTGGTTCATCTCCTTCTAATCTCCCTGTAAGTTTTTAAAGTTTTCTCTGCAATTTGTTCCCACTGCATGTATTTTATTCCTTACTTTGTTATGTAGCATTACACATGGATGTTTTCTCATGTTATTATCAATTCACCACTAAGACCATTTTAAGTGCTTATTATACTTCATTGGAGAAATACCTACTTATTTAGCTAACCAATAACTTATAATTGTATAGCATCAAATATATCATTACAATAGATTGGGGTTTGGGCAAAAATCAGTATACATGAATTTTCATCACTTTTGATCAGCAATTTAGAGCACATTACTAACTTTGATAGTTACCTATCAAAGAGCACACATTTTTAAAATAAAACTTTAAATAGTACAGGGTCTACAGGGTCTCACTACACAGATCAGACTTGTAGTGATCCTCCTGTTTTCAGCCTTCCAAGAGCTGGGATTACAAGTGTGCGCCACCATGCCCAGTCTCAATCACCATCTCAGTGTGCCCTGGGGCCGGGGACGGGACTGCACTGCACACTGAGGATCGAACCCTGGTCTCTGCCTCTGCCTAAGCAGGCACTTTAGTCTGCTGAGCTATCTGGCTGGCTCTAAGAAAATAATTTTTAGGTGAACACATCATAGCTTTATTATAGTTGATTTAAAGTATATTAGAATACATTTTGATGCATTCTCCATTTTAATTTCTAATACAGTAAGCATTGATATATATAGCACATAAATAACAGCTCTTTAGAGTCCTTCAGAATTATGACAGTGTACAGGGCTTGTAGGCCCAAAGGTCTGAGAACTGCAAGTAGAGTTTATTATTCCTCTCTGTCTCTGGTTTTATTCAGGAGGGAGATAATAATCAATAGGACAATGATTATATCTCCTTCCCTGAAAAAGCAAACATTTTTATAAGATTTGGAATTGTCTTTCTCAAGGTCCCTCCTCAAAAACAAAATTCCTCCTCTTTGCATTGCTGGTCCACCCCACACTTCTCTTTCATAAGCTTCATCTCTGTTCTGGGTATTTGTTATATGTTTTATCTCCTTTCAAGAAAGCTATGAACCATTTTTCTACCTATGTCTTATTGTAGGAGCTAACATTATTTTCTATATATTGAGTAGGTGAACATAGTTCACTATGTCGTATTACAATGTATTTGAATTTATGCCACCTTATATGTGTATATGTTTCCATATCACCACTTCATTGTATTAAGGCCCTAAGCGCATGACATCCCAAATGGGATAAAATACTGCAATTCAATTTCTCTTATGAATGAAGCTATTATCTTAGAATTTAGTACTGAACTTATACAAATTCAATGAGTGTGCCAAATCTGGCACTGAGAATTCAGTGAGACTAAACCTTACCAGCTCTCGAGGCAGAAAACTTCCTTCTTGGCGGGCAATGACCAGCGATGCTGTGTCTCCCTGCTTGGTGCTCCTCAGCATGGCCACAAGCTCTTCCTGTGTCCGTCCAGTGACATCTCTGCCATTGACCTAATGAAGGCAATCATGTGAACAGCTAGAGTCAGCTACTTGCTATCTCCTATCCTAGATGTTTATTTAAAATAAAATACTGGGTTTCTATGACCAGTGAAGTTCCATGAAGTTGAATGTTAAACTCGAAGGCAAAACCCAAACATGTCCAATAATACAACATCCTCTTGATTGTAAGTCCAGATGAACTCAGTCAGTCAGTAATTGGTACAAGCATTTTTTCCCAAGACAGCACATTCTCATGAGAGGAAAGTCAAACTGGCAGGTGCCAAGATTGATTTGTCAAATAGGTAGAAGCAGATGTCAGATACTTACTTGGCATCATCTACTGCCCAGTATAACAAGTAGATGTAAAAGTTAATTACTATTATGTAGCAAATTCCTCAGAAAATATATGTATCTCAGTATAATTCTAAAGTTTCCTGCATGTCTAGGAAACACCAGCCAATCATCAATGCTTTCTGGAAATTCTAATTTGAAGCTACATTCCTCATTTGGTACATACTGCTTTCTGATTGAGGACTACAAAGTTAAGCCATAGCACGATTTTGAATGCAACAAGAAAATTAAACACATCAAACAGTACCAACAAAGGTGATTTCTGAGAAGGTAAATTGTCAATTTATAAACACTGATGTGATGTTACTCAACAAAAATAAATACAAAAATAACCCTCTTATGGGTATTGCTAATGCTTCTCTCTGCAAAGCCTCTTATACCATAAGAATTTCCATCACTATGTGAGCACAGGTTTGGAAAAACACAGATCAACCCGAGATACACAAGGGTCCACCTGAGACAATTAACCCACTACTGCAAGGCTTGGCTGTGATTTTGAAATTCCAGCCCTAAATGAATGGATGATGAACTTCTGGAGTCAATCCAAATTCCCCAGGGGTCTGAAAGGAGCAAGTAAAAAGAGAAGATAAAGTTTTCATTATTACTTGGCCCCCTATCACTGGCCTCATTGGGGATTTGCAAAGTTAGGCTGATCATTAACTAGTGTTATAATTAAAGCCTTTATCTTGTCTACAAGTAATAATTTTCAATATATATTGTATTCAAAATAAAATAATATATAGTTAGTCCTCCATATCCATTTGCTTAGTATCTATGGATCAACACATCATCAGAGAGAAATCTTTGAAAACAGATATACCTGCATTGAATGTAAACAGATTATTTCTGAAATTATTCCCTTAGTAATATAGCATCATAACTATTTACATAGCACTTACTTTGTATTAGGTATCAAATAATCTAGCAATGATTTCAAGTATACAAGAAGATGTGTCTAGCATATATGGCAATACCATAAAGCATGAGCACCTACAGATTTCAGTATTTCCCAGGGCCCCAGAGATACTGACAGATAGCTGTATATGTTCATATATTGATTTGTTTCCCATGAAATATTTTATTGAGGATGTGAATTGCAATTATTACCTCCAAAATTCTGTCACCTGACTGTAGGCGGCCATCTCTTATTGCTGCTCCCTTTGGTAAGATGTTTTTTACAAAAATTGGACCTGGACCATGAATGGAAGAATCTCTGGTAACCACAGTGAAACCAAGTCCTTCAGGACCTAGAACATAAGGCCAGAAAAGGCATAGTCACTTTCAGAATGTGGAATATCATATCCAATATTATAGTAAAAATGAACTAATTTAGAGTGCTGTCAAATAAGTAAAAATATTTGTATTAGATATTTTAAATATGCCTCAATTGTTTGGATTTCAAATAAAGGCTGTATCTCCTGTCAGACCAAACTTGTGTCAAACTGCATTCAAATGTACACACGTAACACTTTCATTTATTCAAGCTGTGGAAGAAGTGTATGTATTACCCATGTACCCAGAAGACTGATTCTGTGTATATCCTAACCTGACTCCATACTTTCCTGAGAAACAAAGGGCCTTGAGAAGTGACCAGTCTCTTGATGAGCTTGCCAATGTGTGCCTCACTCCTCTCTGGTGAACTGCTGCATCATTGTCCTGTCAGCTGCTTATGCCTGTTGTCTTGCATCTCTTGTTTCTCTCTTCCAGTATACTTTTCTCTCAGTATAAAGGTATGCTCAGATTCCTACCTCAAATAAGCTTTGCTTTAGTCTTAGTGCTTCTTCAGCATTTGATCACTAGCTACTTAGTGCTATGGTTTGGGTAAGTGTTTTCCATAGGCCTATGTGTGGAAGGCTTGAGCGCCAGCCTTGGGCATTCCTGCTAGGTGGAGGAGCCTGTAGGGGTGGGGCCTAGTTGTGCAGAGGGTCCCTGGCACTCCATAGATGAGGGGACTCTGGTCTCTTCCCTTCCTCTTTGCTTCCTGGTTGCCACACATAGGATACATATAGTCCCCACATTTCTACCATGATGAACTATCTCAACACAGGCCCCCAAGCTACCAGCCAATAACCATGGATCCCACGCTTGTGAGCTAAAGCACACTTCCTCTTTTCAAGAGGAACATCAGATATCCTCTTACTCTAACGAAATGCTGGCTAACACATACCCATGATCACATGCAGTAATTATTCTTATCCTTTATCTTTGCTTCTTATCTAGGTTTGGCACTTTGCACCAATCATTTTCTGAAATTATCTATGTGTTTTAGTGTCTTTATTTTCTGATTATGTTTCTACTTGTCTGATTTTTCATGTTTGTCACTAATTCATACTATTGCCCTCTCACGTAAATACAGATGTTCCCCAAGCCCCCTTTTTAGACCAATTTGTCCATCAGATTTCTTACTTCAGTTAGTACTAGCTCTAAAGGTATCTCCCTGCGGCATATTCTAGATCCCTTTGCTCTTAATCTAACTTTCTAATGTCAGTTTCCAGGAGTGAGTATTGGCATTTTTAATTTCACCATGTACCCCTTCTCCAATTCAGATCATGTCCTTTTCAAGTATCTTTGTCTACTTAAAGTTCTAATTTCTACCAATGGCATCCCCATTATGTATGTTTCCCTGGCTGAAGATCTAAGCAATAATGTAACTATAATTTCTTTTTCCTGTAACCATTCTTTTATTAAGGAATTATATATTATATTTTCTCATTTAGACAGAAGTGATGCACTATTTACTCTTTACTGGTCTTTCCTCAGTATTTCTTTTTGTTTTCAGATTAATCTTTCCAAAGTAGAGCCGTGATGTTGTATTCTTTATTTTCTTCGTGCAAGAAATTCTGATGGATTTTTAAAGTGATTCTGTGACAGATTCATCTTTCTGTCATCAATAACTGAGCTTTGTGACTTATGTACAGTTGGGTCATTGGTATAAAAATATAACTAATAACAACAAAAACCATAATTTCTAAGCATACTGTAGTATTTCTTACTTAATAAATTTTATTCTCAGCAGAATCTTTTTTTACAGAATAGTTGAAAAATATTTGTTTATTTTTAAAATACCTTAATTGGAATTCTAAAATTACCTTTTGACCATGAAATTCTCTATTAATTATGTCAAGAACCTAAAAGATCTTGGTTTCTTTTGAATTGTCTTGAGAAGTGCAGGATCTTAAAAGGTTGCAACAGTGATGGCAACATCAGGCAGATGTTACCAAATGAACAAAACATAGAAGTACATGAATGCTTGTGTGTGTGTGTGTGTAATACTATGTAAGTATGCATATATATATATATATATATATATATATATATATATGACCTAGTTTCACACATCCACATTTGAAATGGATAGAAAAGTTGAAAAAGATGAAAAGGAAAAGAGTATACATGCTTTTGTAATGAAATTAGATATGTTTTGGGCAAACATAATATTGAATCAGTGAAATTAACAATTATATATTTGCTTTCTACAGTTCATTCTAGCCAAAAGGGCACGAAGTGAATATATTTACTTTTTGAAGAGTAAACTTTTGCTGATTAAAAAAGATATCCTAGAGAAGAAGAAGGCATATACTAGAATCTGAAGGATCTTTGCAAAAATCACTAATTACACTGAGAACTGGGACAACTGAATTGTAGTGTTTATTTAGTATTAAGTTATAACACAATATTGCTCTGCTTCTATCAAGTTTGCAATGATTCTTTCTACTCAACATGTCTTTATTGTTTTCTTGTTTCAAATAATCTATACCCTGTAAGAGAAAAGAAGAAAGTACTACAATTTTAAGAAATTTAAGTCACCTAAGTATACAGTTAAATCCATTCTTTGATACAATTAAATGAAGGGAGAATTAACTAAATTAGCTTTAATGCATTTCTCTTAACCAATTTTACATGTTACAATAATAGAATGCCATTAAGCATAATTTAATAATTACCTTTCTTTAGGTCAATTTTAATTTTCTTTGCATTTTTCTTGCTGCCAAGCCCCATGAGAGGGGAGAGTGAGGGAGAGGAAGGCTTTCTTCCTACTCTTGGTACTCTGGGGCTCTTGCTTTGTTGCAGGGAAGTTGATGGATCTGCTTCAGGACTATTTGTTCCTGGGAGATTTACTGTCTTCAGCCCTGATTTGCCATGGGCAGGAGGTGGCACTTTTGTTCTCAAAACACCATCATTGTTACCAAAAATGTTAAGAGGTCCAATGACTGATTTTTCATACTGGTCACGGTTGTGTGGTGAAAGCACATGGAGGAGCACATTTGGAGATTTCATTGCCTGGCGAAAGATATCTTGAGCCCTTGAAAGAGTTAACAAAAGCACAATGATACGGTGTTAGCATGTGGCCTTCCAGGGGACTCTGCATGACAGCAATGAGAAGAACACAGCAGTATAAACCCAGGAGACGTCACTAACATCACTGCCAGTGTGACAGTGTTCATTAAATACTAGTTACTCCTTACTACCTGCTGTCTAGGTGCTTCTGCATTGGGCTATCCATGGACAATGACCGTACGTAACTCTCATAACCACACAAGGTAAATACACTTAGCTTTCATTTTGCAAACTCCAAGTGAAGCTCAGAGATATTAAAAACTTCATGTAAAAAGCTGCAGATTTTAAATCTGAAAACCTAACCAGAAATAATTACTGGAGAATATTTGAAAAGAAAAATTATATTTTGTTTTTTGCTGTTTTGTTTGGTTTGATTGAGACAAAGTTTGGCCTTGATCTCACTATGCAATCCAGGCTGGCCTCGAACTCACAGTGATCCTCCTGCCTCAGCCTCCCAATGGCTGGGATTATAGGCCTGTGTCACCATGCCCACATGTAAAATTTAATTTTAAAAGGAAAAATTATTTGTTGCTTTTTGTTTGTTTGTTTTTTGCGGAACCGGGGATTGAACTCAGGCCCTTGCGCTTGCCAAGAAAGTGCTTATTCTACTGAGCCATCTCCCCAGCCCCTATTTCCTGCCTTTTTTTTTTTTTTTGGAACCGGGGATTGAAATCAGGCACTTACACTTGCCAGGGAAGTGCTTATTCCACTGAGCCATCTCCCTGGCCCCATTTCCTACTTTTGATCAGATTATTCACAAGTTACCTTTTTTTTTTTAAACTGTCAATTAGTGTCTACTCCATACTAAATAACTGTAGCCTTCAATTTTCACTCGATGAAACAGGGATGATGCCTACCTTCTATATCTCTTAAATCCTAGTTAAAAAATATGTGACACACAATACAGTTATTAATAATTACTTTAATTTTGTTTGCTATTATTTAACAAAATAGATTCACTTAAGACTTAATTTCTTTCCACATGTAATCAGCCAGTACCTGCTTTTCTTCTACCCTGAGCTGTACTCCTTTCTCCACACATAGAATATTGACAACTAACACCCAGAGAGCAGATGTACGAGAAGCACTTTGGATCAGAAACAGGGATGACACTGAATATTCATAAGCAGCACTAGTACTTATTCCCCTAATTTGGAATGACAGCACAATCCTGAATCACATTAAAAAATGTAGACACATTGGGGCTGTGGAGATAGTTCAGTGTCATCCCTGTTTCTGATCCAGATAGCTAAGTGCCTACCTAGGCAAGTGGAAGGACCTGGGTTTGATCCCCAGTACCACATGCTGTACCGGTCCTGCCCCCGGCATGCCCAGCTGGCTACCAAGTCCAGGCATGGTGGTGCATACCTATAATCCTAGCACGGGGGAGGCTGAAACAGGAGAATCACTATGAGTCCGAGCTGCATAGTGAGACCCTGTACCAAATGCATAAAAGTAAAACAAACAAACAAAAGATATATCACAATGCTACATATTCAAATTCTTACATACAGAAGATTATTCCTTTAACATTTGCACATTAAAAAAGATGACCTCATGAGGGGAAAGGTTTTTTTTTTTTTTTCTTTCAGAACCGGGGATTGAACACAGGCCTATTTAAAAAAAAAAATTATTGAGAAAGAAATAGCAATAAGACAGTTTCAAAACAGGTTAGTAGGACAGTTACAATAATTAACACATTGTATATTGTTGTCTTCATAGTAGTTATTTATAGTACAAGATGCAGACATGACCTACAATATTTGAATGGCAACGGAACACGCATCTCTGACAAGACTCAATGAAATGGGATATAAATGAAGGACCATTTTGTAGTGAAAAAAAATCTGTATATATAAAATAGGCAGATATACAGTTACTTTCTCCCATGAACTCAGGCCCTAGCGCTTGCCAGGTAAGCGCTTATTTTACTGAGCTATCTCCCCAGCCCCAGGAAGAGTATTTTAATTTTTTATATACTTGTATTCACTGGGGCCTTACAGGGATCTATCACAGACTATTTAGTTCAGGGAAGATTGTTGACATCAAATAAGTTAATTAATAAGGTGAGCTAATAGTCTGTGAAAAGAGCCATTAAATACCAGCCTAACTGACCCATAGCACAAGAAAAACAAACCTCTTCATAGATTACCCAGCAAGACAACCACGCAGGAAGCTTGCTTCACACGAAGGTTTGACATTCCTGGGATGGTGGAGACACGTGCAAGCCACTTTTGTATACATTCGAACATAAAATGCATTTGAAAGTGGATGTCTGGGGTCATTTAAAGGGAACTGACCAGATATTCTCCCTGTGATTTTTATCATAATGAGAGCAGTAATGATTATAACCATTTCAGGGATCAATAAAGTAAATAAAACAATAAAAAATGCTTACTGAGCAAAAGTTTTGTCTACGAGATCCACATTGTTGATTTTTACAATGCATTCATTTTCCTGAAAGAGTCCCTCCTGCTTGCACCTGCTGTTTTCTTCAATGCCTCGGATGAAGAGTCCTAGGATCCTAAATGTAGAATTTAGGTTGAAATATAATCATTGTATAACAATATGCTAATCATTTCCCTACTTGCTACTATTCAGAAATAAGTATTGATTTTTACTTACAAAGCAAATTATTTCTTCTATTCAAGCAACTGTTTCTGATTGAAATTCTTGATCACACACACACACACACACACACACACACACGCGCACACACACACCCCATCACTAAAGAGAAAAAGCCCTTCAAGACAAGAATTTGCAAGCACCAATCCTGAGGACATTCTCTGTGAGCCCATTTCTCATGCTAGCCACAGACTTCACAAAAGCCAGTGCAGCTCAGTGGTGCCAAGGACCCCAGACTCCTGCTCATGGAAGAACTCTGCAGTTCACTGGAAGGAACAGGTAAGCCAGATTATGCCAAGATGGCAGTATGAGGTGCAGTTTCCTTTGCATTTTAAGAGGTAAACACACATGTGAGGTTGTACCGGTCAGAAGGAAGCCTACTCCCATCCATCAGTGCCCCTGAATCAGATGTTTGATTCTCAGAACTGAGGAGTGTAAGACAAAGTTTTAGGACCAGGAGCAGTTAATGGTCAGTACAAGGTTAGTGTACAGTTTAAGTTCAAAAACTGGAAATACTGGAAAGCAGAGGCTCAGAAGATTTGAGAGCTGTGGGAGCAGGGGACACTTGCACCCCACCTCTACATCCTGCTGACTGCTGGGCTTGGGGAGACTTGCCTGAATGTCAGCAAGGAAGACATGGATTCAGAAAGAAGACCCAGGCTCAGAGTTAGGAGAGGAAGGGACTGGGAAAATAAAAAGAAAGGGAAACCTACAGCCATAGGAATTATATTTGAAGCCAGGAGTGATAGTGCACAACTGTAATCAGCCTCTGCGAGGCTGAGGCACGAGGATCACAAGTTCGAGCTCAGCCTAAGAACACAGTGATATGGTGAGACACTGTCTCAAAATAGAAAAGAACTGTGGCTATAGCTGAGTGAACCATAATTCAACCTCTAGTCACACACACACACACACACACACACACACACACACACACACACACATTCCTTTTATATACATTCACCTGTTGGTATCCATGGATGACTGGTTCTAGAATCTACCTTGTATATCAAAATCTGTGAAAGCTCAAGTTTTTTACAAAATGACATAGAATTTGCATCTTTCTATATACTTTATTTATTTGTTTTTTGTGTGCAGGGTCTCACTACACAGCCCACATTAGTAGTGATCCTCCTTATTTCTTTGTAATAGCTAACACAATGGAATGCCATATAGATAGCTATTGTATTGGACTGATTAGGTAATATCAGCAAGAAAAACTCTACACATGTTCAATACAGAAGTCAGTGTTTCTTCCAAATGTTTTCAACCCATGGATTGTTGAATGTGCTATGGATAAGGAACCCTTGCATGTGGCGTGCTGACTGTATATGTACCTGTGTGTTCATACACACAAGCCTGTTTCCTAAGTAATAAACAACAACTAAGCCAGTAATGACAAGAAAGGAATTTTATCCATTTAGATATTTCTTATTTGAAGATTTTAGCTGCTTCTCAGAGTGAGGAAGATACATATGTCCTCTAAGAGGAGGCCACTTGGTGTGGAGAAGCTGCCAGCCTCATCACTATCCCCTATTCTTCTGCTTAGTTACTCTTTTGTCAAGGAGCCTTATGTGCTATTACATAGTCCCTTTGCATCAAATTTCAAATCTAAATAAAATATGAGCACATTTTATGCACGAATAATAGGGTCAGCAATGGGAAAAGGGCAGGCCATAATGAAAGTTGAGGAGAAAGTGCTCTCCCGTGTGGAACAGTCCTGGACTGGAGCTTCCGCCTGCAGAGCTCAGTTCATTTAATGAGTCCAGAGCATTGCCAGACGTCAAAGGCAAAGCATACACGGTGATATTTAAGCTTCTGCTCCAAAAATATTAAATGAATAAATACAGTACGTTACTGCAGAAGAGCAGAGCAAGTCACACTACTGACCACAAGAAAGGGCCAGGGCCACAGGACCAGGTGTAGGATGTAGGCTCAGCCCACACTTTCCAGTTCTAACAGGTTAGCAGATTAATCAAACATCCTCAGTGTTACCTTACTTTCCTAACATGATACGAAAAATGAAGCTGTTTAATGTGTAAAAAAGAAAAAATAGATCAAAAGCATATTTTTTTCCTCTAAATTAGGCAATGTCTTAATAGTTCACAGTTTGGATTTTTGTAATGGTGGATTCACAATAACATGATCCATTAGGAGGCTCTCATGTGGTTATAAACTAGTTTATGTAAGTGATATTTTTCTAACAAGCATTCAAGTCTTCCTTTAATTTAATCCAGTACATCATCAGTCACGTAACGTTACTCCCTAGGATTTAATTTCACATTTTGGGAAATGAATTAATTCTTTCAGGCCACTAGGTTGCAATTTAGCTAGCATATTTTAGCTGGAGTATGCTATGTGAACCCTTCTGATCTAAATAACCTAAATTTCCATGAAAAATTTATTGACAGAATAAACCCAACTGTAAAACCCATGTGTCAGAGGTAATTTTGGTAAAATTTAAAACTGACTGATTTCATTAGTTTGGTCCTGGGCAACAAACCACTCCTTCCCTCTCTGTTCCATAGATGGGGTAGATTCCCTTTTGTATGATGTCCTCCAGTCTACTATGAGAAGCTTGGAAAATAGTATCTTATGATGCATTATCCTTGTTGGCCCAGATCGGTGGGACCAAAACTATCTCATTGGGACCAAAACTCACAGGATTCAAAGATTAATGCTTTGGAGGAATTATAGGCCAAGACTAGCCAGTTAATTTGCATTAATGAGCAGTGAAAAAAGACAATGAAACCTGCAGCCTGGTGGAATAAGAATAACAATTGCTTCTTCTTCATCTAATAATCACTGAGGCACCAACAATTTTTCCCTATTTGTTAGATCTCAGGCCAGGTCTCCTACCAGCTCAGTGCTTTTGTACAAACATCTCATTCCACACACCACACCCCTCTTCCTGTATCCTTCCTTTTCCTCTCTTGTGTTTAGCTGGAATGAAACCGAGGCATTGCTGGAAGAAAACTGAGGTTGCATGCCACCTTTATTGAAAAAAAATACATTTCATGTTTTTAACTCTAAAAATTCTCATTGATATTTGTTAGATGAATGAATTTTATTTAACTTGCAAGGACTTACTGTTTTGTCTTGTTTTCAATGGAGAAGGCATTGACTCTCAATACACATAACATTCATTACCCATGTGCTATGGTATATAATGGATTCCTGGAGACTTTATCTATTATGGCAGCCACTATATTTTTCTTAGCATGTTCTAACTTAGATTAAATTTCTTATTCAACAACAGGTGTGGTAGTATTTTTCTACAAGGAAAAAAATACATTGGAGGCAAAGCCAATTACAGTAGTCTTAAAAACTAAGAATTAAATGCAAATTCTACTTTAAAATAATAACATAAACCAATAAATGGAAGGAAATTAAGAGCTAAGTATACCACTATGACCTGAGCTAAGCCCCCGCCCCCGTCCCAGTGAAACCATCTGGCACTCTGAAGTCAGACACTTGCCTGACACGCTACCCAGGCAGTTGCACCTAGACACATGGGTTGAGTTAAGCGTGCTGTTTCAGCCTGTATTCATTACTTTTATTGGCTCATGTCTCCACTTCCATATTATTTTTAATGTTTTTTAATTAAATTTCCTTTTATAATACTAGTGAATAGCCAAAAAATAAATAAATAAAACTATTTCTCCAAGTTACCAAATGGTTGACAATGAACTAAAGTTTACTTTCTGAACCAGGCTTTTTTGTTTTAACACAAATAATAATAATGCCAACATTTTATACATTCATGCACTGTGGATTTTATAGGGAGCTGTCACATTTTTAATGTCATTAAATCCTCAGAACCTTGATGTGAAGTAGGTATTCATAAGAGACAAATTTAGGGGATTTGTTGAAAATTATTTGAAAAGAACAGAGATTAATTAGAATTGTTGTGAATTCAGATCCAATAATTCTTTCTACTATTCTACCAAGTTTACGTTAGGAATGAGAATCAGAAAAGAGAAGGGAAGAAGGCAATAAAATCTAGCATGTTTCCCCATGAAGCAAGAGAAAGTGATTTCTCATCAATAGGGCCAAGTTATTTTCTGAACTATTGAAAATGAAATATGGTAACTGTCACATTGTACATTTTCTCATCTTTGGAAATTGGGACGATCTCATTTTCTATTCCAGCTTCCTTGAACTAAAGGGCCTGGTAATTTAACCCATCTGGTATTTCACAAAGCTTTTTCAGTACACTCATGCCAAAAGCCATTAGAATTTCTCAGGACAACTGAGTAAATACTCACCCTGTCTATCAAGAACAACCTTGGCTTGTTCTATGGCTCAGCACACAACACTTATAAAATGTGCTTCTTACCACACACAGGAAAACAGACAATGCAAGCCTCTAGCTTCTCACTTCATTTCTTTTTAGGAAACACTCATTTCAGCCAGATCCTGTCATAAGATGCTATTTGCCAAGAGCAAAAAGGCGATGAATTTATAATTACAGGTAGCAGACAGCCACCGCTGAACATGGTGCTAACCAAAAGGCCAGGAGAAAATCTGTTCTGGCTATAGAGGAGACTGAACTGAATAAATATCCAGAACCAGGAAATTAACACAATTCAACCTGTGAAAAAACCCTTGATGCTAGGAAGAGCAAGGGAATGCAGATACATCAGAAGCTCTGGGTTTCATATGGCACTGGGAAACTCAACAGAATTTCCTGATCTTTGATATCTTCAACTACAAGAAAAGCATTCTATCTTTTCAATGAAGCATTTAATAAATTTAGCAAAGTAATTAAAATCAGGTTACATAAAGGAGAAACTGGTATTTAAGTTTTTTTTTAAATGTATTTAGAACAGAGGCTATAGGTTCTCACCATGTAGATTGGATTCATAGTGATTCTCCTGTTTTCAGCCTCCCAAGCACTGGGATTACAGGTGCACATCACTATGCCCAGTGTCAATTGCCATCTCAGCGCACCCTGGAGGCAGGGCCAGCATGGCACACTGGGGATCGAACCCCGGCCGCTGTGCTCTGCCTAAGCAGGTGCTTTATTCCACTGAGTTATCTGACTGGCCTTTGTTTAAACTTCTGACAAACCTGTCACTAGCAATCTACTGCTAATGGGAGTCATTTCAGCCAAGGATGGTGGCACAGGCCTGAAGCCAGTGTGGATTTAGCAATGTAAAGCCTCTAACATTCCAAAAGATGGAAAATTATTTTTAACAGCCTAAATTGACTTTAGAAAAAACCCTAGCATATGATATTTTCCATTTGCCTTTCTGTCTGTCTGTCTGTCTATCTATCTATCTATCTATCTATCTATCTATCTATCTATCACTTTATATCTCAATATTTAAATACATGGCTTCTTATATAACTACTAGAATATTGAATGTTCAGCGTTGTTAGTTCTATATACAGTACATATTGAAGAATATAAGGAATTATAAATCTAGAATTATCTTCATTTACTGACATGCATTTAGTAACATTAAAAATTGAGTTAAGACACTTGTCTAACAACAGGATAAAATCTTTGCCAACAATGCTGTTTACTCTGTTACCAAGGATAGCATAAGAAAATATAATTGCAAGCAGAGAATTGTGTTGAATATTTTTCATTGCATCTTAAAAGTGTATTTTATTTTGATCCAAACACATAAAAGGCCAACATAAGTATTTCTTATAGTGTCCATCTGAATAATAGGAATTCACACTTAATTGTCTTCTGAAAAAAAATGATTGAAGAGAAAAACTCATTGCGGTTTGCATTATTTGAGCTTTTGAAACCAGCAAAATATCTTACCTTCCACTCAAAGATGAAAAGAAGGGCACTACATGTATTCCTAAGGGACCTCCTTCCCCTGAAATCTCCACTGTTCTGGTCATATCACTGGGACAGAAAAAAAAACAAAAGCACAGATGAGTCTCGGTTAAAAAAAAAAAGCATGAGGCATGTGAATAACCCACCTCACCCTGTCACTCCTCTCTCAGGACCACAGGCACTACTGTGCTGGCAAGGACAGAGAGGAAGTCAAAGGACTGCCCACCTTGTGGGTAGGATCAGAAGAGCCAGGAAAGAAAATCTTTGAATGATTATTTGATTTTTAATTTTAACCTCTAGAAGAAGAAAAAAAATAGAATGACTATCTACAAAATAAATGTCCATGTAATCTGCATAAATCCACATTTAAAAAAGAAGTATATGAAAATAAAATTTCTCCCCAACGAAATTTATTTGAAAATTACAAGTCAGAAAATACATGGAAGTAAGTGGCCTTTCTTTACTGGAACAGAAGAAAATTGAAAGAAAATACTTATTTGTTAGAAAAAGCACAGAATTACAGCTTATAATAGCTGTGAAGCCAGAGTTGATAATACATGTGGGCATGTTCAAAGCAATTTACATCGAAACCTAAACCTGTATCATTTGATTTCAATGGAACAATTCCAAGTTTTCACCTCCTAGTTTATTTATTTTATAAAGGTAGAAAAGAGGTTGAAAAAGCTGGAGAAAATGTTTTATAGAAAGAAATAGAAAGTCTGACCTGCCTAACCTAGCCCAGATTAAGGGAACGATGAGCTAGGAACATTAATGGATAGTGTGCATGACAGAAACATAGAAGGCACTGGGTGCTTTTGAGTAATGTAGAATAGAACAAGTTTATGTACAAATGAAAAATAATAACTGTGAATAATTATTGGCTCCTTTAATCTCAGAAAGAGAAAATAAAATTGCCAAAGGAAATTGGTAAAGTTGAAGTAAACATCTCTTTCATGAAAACTGTGCACATGTTTCCCTTGTTTTCTATTTACATGAAAATGACCTGAAACTATATGTCAAATTAAGAACTATAACGGTTAGAAATGTTTTTCTGTTCTCAACTGAAAATGGTAAAATTTTGGTTCTTTGCTGGAAAGTAGAGAACACCTTATAAAGCAAAATGCCTGATGAACTGACGCTTCATAAAATAGTCTATTTGCATCTAAAATAAACATTAAATATAATCTCATCAATGGATTAGGTTTATTTTAAATGTTTTCTTTGCAAGCCTATTATCATTAAGAACTGAGAATAGGAGCACATTAGTTTCCAGTATTTGTAGAAGACTGAAAATTTCAATCTGATAATAAATATCAAATGGATTTTATCCAGATATTACTGGTGTACATATAAATTGTTCACTCAAACAGGTTATAGCAGCAGCCTGGAATATGATTTAAGAGTGAAACAAATCTGAAAGTGATAATATAAGGTTACTCTGTCCTCTGTGTATGAACACTTACATGACTATAGGTACAGGTATCTGGAGAGGCATACAAAGTATGCATTATAAATCCTGGATCAAAAATGCTTGATAGACAAAAAAGTTGTACACATTTTTGGTACAGTTGAGCTCATTATGCAGCTCAGACTCATAGTGGTCCTCATGTTTTCTGCCTCCTAAGCGCTGGGATTACAGGCATGTGCCACTTCTCTAGGTGTTGGTGGCCAGCTCAGGGCTCCTGGGAACACGACTAGTGCAGCATGTGGTTGAACCCAAGTCCCTGTGCTTGACTAAGCAGGCATCAAGTCCGCTGAACTATCTCTCTGGCCCTAAAATTTCTATATAATAACAAATTTGTGGTGCATTTTCACAAGAGTGATCCTTTCTAGGTTTATGATACTGTTTTAACTACTTTTAAAATAGAGACTAAAATCTTAATCTTTGAAAAATTTTCTTTTGTAATGTATTTTTACAGTTTAATACTGAAACTATAACACAAATTTTTCCTGAAAAATGTATCAAATGTCTACATGCTAATAAAATATACATGTAATAGATAGAGGCTTTCAAATATGTGTTTATTCTACTGTAGACTTAAGGATTTCAGTTTAAGAATTTTAAAGATGGCTATTATAGATGATAACTTTTATGGATTCCTATTTTTTCCTACTTGTAAAGTATTTTCCTTACTCAAAACTCCTCCTATGAATATAATAAACTCCCTGGTTCATACTGAAACCTACTCTTCAGCTAAGTATTAACCCTGATTTTTATGTTCACTTAATAAATTTTACAATATAAGCAATACAACATGTTTAAGATATTAAAAAGTTTTGAGGAGGATTAAGCTTTAAAATGCATTTCATGACTCTTCCTTCCCGTAGTCCAGATTGTATTTTTAGCTTGCCACAGCACACTATAGCCAAAAAGATCTTTGGTGAGAAAGATTTGTGGAAACTGTTAGGTTACAAGCACAAAAATGTTACTAACACAGAAAAAAAGAAGACTCAGTATTGACTGCAAATTGCAAGCATTAACAAAAAATTAGATCTGCTAATAAATACAAATGTAACATTATTTACAATAATGTCTCACATTGTTCTTTACAAAAATATCATCCATTATTTGGTTCAAGATGGTATGTGAAAAGGAAGTCTCATAGACAAATTCACAGATTTTTACTTATTCTAAAAGGCACATGTCTCCATATTTTCTAGATTTCTGTAGAGATCTCTGTATGCATGCCTCACGGGATGGAAACACATAAGCAGGACTAGCTACAACTATTTTAATACAGAAGTTGCGCGGTGCCAAGTGTGATGAGTAAGGCAGGTGGGGCACACCACGATGCTTGCACGAGACGGCCCTGCTACAGATGTCACTCAGCAGCTCTACTTGCTATACCTTTGATCACATCTATAAAGATACTCAGGAACGGACATTCAGAACTGCTTCAGAAAGTGGCAAGAATAATGGGATGTTTGTCTGAAGAGAGGCGGAATTATTTAAAAGTGCATTAATGACAATATGTCTTTTACTATGATCATTTTTTAAAATTCAAACATTCACAGTGTTTTTGGTCAACGTTTGGACAGATCTGTAAAACTGAGACTTCACGATGTTGTGAAAATGGACTACTGGCACTATGGCTTAGATGCCTCAGTGTACAGTTCAGGGACTCATGCAGGGTGCATCCATTTATTTAGGTTTTGGAGGTTGGTACAATGGTCAGAAGATACAGCAAAAGGCAGACTAAGAGTGAAAAATATAGAAAGTGAGGAAGGATATTCTAGCCATGGGAAGAAAAAGGAATTATAAAAAAATAGACAAAAGATGGAACAGTGTGAGGTTCTACTGGGATGACACTTTCAAAGCAGAGGTACAGTAAAAAGAGGGTACAGGACTGCAACATAGAACTGGGATCAGGAAACACTTAGGGTGGTGGCATTTGATGAAGGACTCTGAAGGACAAATTAATTTTCCATCAGAAAAAATACATGAAGGGTAGGGGGCTGAGGACACACATAGAAGAAAAGTCTGTACTGAGACACCGAACCAGGATGGTGTGAGGACATGGAGTGGAATGTCACATTGCAGAGGGAGAAGACATGATAAATGAGGAAGAGGAGAAGGAGGAAGCGAAGAAGGGTGAGAGAGGTGGTATGCACACAAGGCAGATTGACCCATTAGCGTCGAATCAAATATCCTAGTGATCAAATTCCAACCTGGAAAGTTCATGCTTAAATTTGTAGAAAATAATCACTAAAGGTTCCATAACTAAGCAACAGTGATATAAATGCTATAATTTAGACAGCTGTCTGGCACTTATATGTGGGATTGATGAGAAAAGGAAAGGGCCAGGGAGAGATTGGCACTTGAGACAAGAGTTAGTAAATTACTACAATCTACCTTTGAGGGAACACAGGCTTCAGCAATGATTACAGAATAAAGCATGAGACCATGAGGACAGGTTCAAGATAATTTGAGATGAACTCTACAAATAATTTGCCGAATGAGTAGCTGTCATAGGCAGGAGAGAAGATAGGATAAAATATGATGGCAATTTTAAGCTCAGAAGAAGAGCTGTATCAGGAGCAAGATAACCTAGGGAAGCAGGAGTTGAGAAATACTGTGGGGTGGGAAACAGAAAAGCAGCTAGGGAGGAGGGACAGTCTTCCATACATTTGCTTACTATTTGAAAAGAAGCTCAAACTGTAAGTTTTAGAAAAAATACCCAAGAAATGGTTGCTTTACAGTCTTCAGACCCAAGTGAATCACATAGTGATCTACAGGGCATGCCCTATTAGACATATTTTAGGGAAGGGTTGGCAAGGTGTTCTGGGCCTCACTAATAGATCAGACTCGTAGTGATCCACCTGTTTACAGCCTCACAAGAGCTGGGATTACAGGCATGCACCACCACGCCAGACTTGGGGATTGAACCCCCAGGCTCTGCACCTGCTTACAGGCGCTTTAATCTGCTAGGCTATTTGGCTGGCCCTGTTTTTCCTTGAATAAAGATGCTTTGTTAATAATGGATGAGATCAAAGTTATGATTTATGGAGCAATTTATTATACCATTCACTCATTCACTGACCCAATATATCCCAATTATATCCTAAGACCTGTATTATGTGTTAAAATACTTTGAAGGATTGTCTTGTTTGAAAAAAGAAATAGTTACAACAAGATGCAGAATATTTAATAATGACCATGATAATTACAATAGCAATTAATGCTTCTCTAGCCTTTCATTTAGCACTGTGCTAAGTTGTTGCTTGTAATGTATCTTAGTTAATCTTCTCAATCTATATGATCATGGCACTCATTTTTTAAAAGAAGAAAACATTTTAAAGAGGTTAATTAGTCCAAAACTGGCACAGGTAGTTAGTAGCACAGTCCATATTCAAATGTAGGGATTAACTAAAACCAAGGGGAACTAAGGAAGGCTTTAGATATTTTATCTAGCAGTAATACATGGGAACAATTAGAATAAGGAGAGACTGATATTCAGGAGAAAAATAGTAGCTTATGTCTGAAGAGACAAGAAATGTTTTAGCAATGCCTGTGGGTGCACAAATTGGTTCATGACATATTGAAATGGACTCTGGAAATTATTTTCTTAGCTTCTACACCACCTGCATGAAGTGTGCCCAAAGTCCTGTGATAAAACCAAGGTATGTGGGGCAATATTGAAAGTCCCCACCTGAGAAAGATGCTGGCCATATAATGTAGCTGGAAGTAGCATCATAATCAATATTTACCTGTTTTTTTCTTATCTCATGCTGGCTTAAAACAACGGTTCTGCTAGGACCTTGGTCTTCAAGCTTTCCTGTTAGTTGGACATGCTATACTCCAAAGGTAGTTCCTGCCCTTGTGCAGCCTCAGGTCTGCAAAGACCAGGAGTCTGCAAGGACTAGAGTTTGTACTCATTCCATATTCTGAATTTGGATGGAAGCTGAATTCAGTTGTGGCACTCACTATACAGTGATTTTTAGCCCTGATTGTATGGCATGAAAAAAAAAAAAAAACAATCAAGGACCCAGAAGGCGCACAAAAATTAGTTTTAAGTTTATAGATTTATAGAAATAAACTATCTCTATATTTGTTCTGAATTGAAGTTGCTTCACCAACTAATAAATTAAGAGGTTGTTTTGATAGTCAAATTATACTTACATACATATAGTTTAGGAATGAAAAAAATTATTACTCTGTTCTATTTCTCAAAATTCCCTGTACCCAGAAAAGTTTAGCTATTTTTTTCCCTTTAACCATAAACCAAATAAGTGTTCAGTTTGTGATAGGTACTGATGTAGCATTTACCCAAGGTGTCAGCAAAATTTTCAAAAGGCTAACACTTGAAAAACAATGCTAAAACCAAACAGAGTAAGAGCACTCCATACATTACAACTACCTTCAAAAACAATATTATCAAACTTCTGAAAAGACAGTGTTGGAGATCTTTTACATCAAATTGTTTATATTGGGCAGCTCATTAATCAGAGAAATAGCCTAAATAAAAATAATTATGATCATATGGCCATAAGACATAAATTTGAGAACACACAGTGAAACTGTGTGATAAATGATAATAATCCATTTTTAAATGTAATTTCATGCCAATTGAATGGCACCTATTAGTAACTGGACTCAAGGAAAAGAATGCACTAGCTGAATGGCCACCATGCTCAGCAGCATTGCCTGCTAATGCTAAATAACCATATATTACATTCAACATCACTATTGTTGTGCCAAATTTGAAGAAATTTAAAGAAATGATAATGACAATTATAAAAATAACATAAAACCAGCAACACTATTAAAATATCCAAAATGTGAAACTCTTGCATGGCTGCTATACTACTCAAAAAGTTTGGGATTTTGCAGCATTTCATATTTGAGAGTTTGGGATTATGCAAATATTGCCATATCAAAATCTGAAGCAATTCTGGTCCCTAGAAGTTTGGGTACAGAGTAGTCAACCTGTAGCAGAAATAATGTTAGTAACAATAGTAGTAGCAAAAGCAGCAAATAGGCAGGTCTCCCTAACCCAAACACTATTCCCAGTACCTTATCTATATTAATAATGAAATGTACACACAGAAGGATAATAGTTCTGTACAAACTCATTGAAGAAAGTGTTAATAATATTTATATTTTACAGAGCAGGAATTGAGGCAAAGAACTTGCATAAATTCACAGGTAAAATAAGCAGTCGAGCTGGGTTTTGAACAGGTAGCAAGTACTTTGACTTTAAAATTGGACAGTTAGCACACAAAAAATGCAGTACTGGCAAACATAGGCATAAGTGACTTCAAATCATGAGCCACTTTCATTAATACCATGAAAAAATCTGACTGAGAGTCTGGATTTATTTTATATGAATCAAGTAAAGTACTGCAAGATTATTCAAACAATATAAAGCTGTACTCAGAGAACTAGGCTCAAAGTAAAGCATTCCACCACAGTGCACTCTGAGGAAGTGTTCACTTCAACCTGCTGCTCAAAGAGAAGGAAAAGTAATTAAAAAATATTGGCTGCAGAAGAGTGCTGGAAGGATTGAGGATCACTTGTACATACATGTTTGTCAGTGAGTTCTCATAATGAAAGAAAAAGAACAACTATGAAATTAATGTCACAACTGGAACATGTTCCATGCTACAGTTCTACTTATCTTGGTCTTTCCTGTAAAATAAAACCAGTTAAAAACTATTAAATACACCAGGATTGAACTGAAATAAACAAAAATATACCAATTTATATGAAGAAAATACCTCAGTGTATCCTTCATTTTTGGCGACGTTAGTAGTTCCGTCTGTATACCATTCATCACTTCTCTGTCTTCCAAGTTCTGTGTGGAATCCTGTAGGGAAACAAACCCATAAGCATGTGGGTGCTACACATATAGAACTGAAGATTTGAATAAAATATCTCAATGTGAGAGAGTAAATGGTTTTATTCTAGATATAGAACACATGTTCCAATTTCTTTTAAGACTGGAAACAGGTGTTAATCTTTTCAGTGATTTTAATGTACTTTGCTCTCCCATTTGGTTCCTGAATTGTTCAAATGGCCCATTTACAAAAGGCAATGTGTTAAGAGCTTCAGAATTCATCATTTAGCTTCCTGCTACTCAACCCTAGACTTTGGGGACTGTCTTTTAAACCAGCACAGAAAAGGAGCACATAAGGGAGTGAAAGCTTCAGTGACAGACAGGTGGTGAGAGATGTTTTAGTGCACTTTACTTGTTTGTACCCTGATGATACAGTACTAAAATATAAAGAGAACACATCCGTGAGAAAATGGGGCCTGCCAAAGTCACTTCTGGCAAATGTGCACAGGAACAGTTCTGGAAGAAGAAAGCCAAAATTCTTCATCATAAGAGTTGACTTTTGAGGATGCACTTTACAAAAAGGAAAGAAACTGGCCCCTAAGTCTAACACACTTCAGCCACAGGCAGCATGCTCAAGGGACAGGCTCAAGAACAGAGTTAGCTGGTGGTGTAGGACAGTGGTAAAGTTTCATTGGCTAATACCCAGAGTAGTCAGAGGAAAGGGTGGGTTCTAGACACCATGCCTTCTTTATGGAAGATATCAGTTCCTTGCTAGACCATGGGACTGTTCTTTAACAGATAATTCTGTGGATCCCCACTCTTCAAAAAAGAGTCAAACACACAATTGGTCATTGATTCTGATTTCCCTGAAACAATGCACCTGGAGAAAGACCCATAAACAAAACCCAGACCTAGAAGCAGCATTTATAACCCTGAACACACCATTTCAACACAAAGGAGGACAAGTGTGAACTTAAGAATGTGTACACAAGTGAATGAGGGTAATGTCTCAATAAAAGAAGACCCAGCTACATCAGAAGCACTTTCACATGCACACTGATCATTATAAAAACTGTCTTTGCTTTTAGTCTATGGAACAACATTTCATAGAGGTGAGTTGTTTTGTGAGACTTTTACCCTAGATTTATTTTATTATTTTAGCTAATTTTCTTTATTAGATCATGCATGTGGTACATAGGCTTACACTCCATGTGGGGAGTTCGGACATGTAAATAACACATCTTAAATCCTTTCCTCATCCCAACTCCTCCCTTCCCTTCCTCCTTCCTTCATCTCTTCATTCCTATTCCCCTTCAGAAAGGTCTCCCTTTCTTCTTTTTACTTATACTTCGGGTCTCATGTAAGAGAAATCATGCACTATTTAAGTTCGCATGTCTAGTTTATTTCATATAACATTATGGTCTCAAGGTGCATCTACTTTCCTACAAATGAGTTTTCTTCATGGCAAAGCAGTACTACACTGTGTCAAAATGTCACATTTTAAAATCCATTCATCTATTGATGGAGTAGCAGGGGCTACTTCAAAGATTTAACTATTATAAGAATGCTGCTATAAACATGGCGATGCATGTTTTGCTGTACTAGGATGTCTTTATTTCTTCAAAAAAGGGACTTGGAGAATAACAGAGTCAAATGGCATTTCTAGTTTTAGTTCTCTGGAGGCTCTCTATACTGATTTCCATAGTACTTTTACCAGTAATAATGACACAAACAATGAAGAAGCTCCTCCTAGACCTCGCCAGCATTTGTTATTGGTTGTTGTTTTCCTCACGATAGCCATTCTTTCAGGATGAGATGGAATCTGTGTTGTTTTCATTTACATTTCTGAGTGATGTTGAGCATTTCTTCACACATTTATTGGCCATTTATATTTCTTTTTTTGTGAAGCATTTGTTCATAACCCCACCTTCCATGACCAAACAGATCTGTTTAATTTTTTTTAAATTTAGTTTTCTCTTTTCCACTTAAAGAACACTTCGTAGATTAATGTACCAAACCTTAAAAGATGAATGTTTTTGCAAGTTTTTAAATATGTGTTATTATGGAAATCTAGAAAAATTACTACAGAGAAAATGAGATGTGATTGGGCAGATTACAAAAACACTTAAGCAGAAAAATGTAACAAAAGTATTGAACTTGTCACTATAATATATGTCAAGACATTTGATGACCTCATTAACACTCAAATCATTAAGTTTCTGTGCTATCTCATATAAGACAAACTTGTGTTATCAAGCATATAACAAAGAGTTCATTATATTAGTTTGCTAAGGATGGATAATAAATTATCCTCAAATTTAAGGATTAGAAAATATTTATTATATGTTATTGATGCTGTGAGTCAAGACTTTTAAGTGGCTTGGTGGAGCAGTTTTACAGTACAGTCAAGATGGCTGAAGGCTGCAGCTTCAGAAAGGCTTGAGGCTTTGAGATCAAATTTTTTTTACAGTGGCTTTACTGAGATATGCAGTAATTCACATAAGATTAAGCCTCATAAAGAGTACAATTTGGAGATTTGGGATATATACGGTTGTGCAACAATAGTCACCAAAGGAGATCACTTTTGTCATTCAGAAAGAAAACCCTTACCCTTTAGCAGTCATTTTCCATTTTCTTCTCCCAAGACATCTGCCATTAATCATTAATCTACTGTCTGTTTTCTAGTATTGCCCAATATGAATATTTCATATAAAAGAATCTCTCTTAAATCATTTTCTTTTTGCTAAGACAAAATACCAACACCCAACACTCAATGGAAGAGAGGTTTACAGAGATTTTAGAGGATTCAGTCCATAGTTGGCTGGCTCCTGGAAGAAAGTGAATGGCAGGAAGGGTCAGGGCAGATGACAGCTATTCATGCCATAACAACCAGGAAGAAGAGAAGGGGGAGCCAAGGGTGGGGATGCACTTGCCAGGTCACGTCCCTGTGACTGTTGGCCAGTCAGGCCTCACCTCCCAATACCACTTTAGATGTCGAACTTGTCCGTGGCCTCACGTGCTGATAAATATTATACCCCCACATCACCCGTCAAACACCTAAGATTTGGGGGACATTTTAAATCCAAACCATAAGAAAGTCAGCAAGCAGTTTCCTTATTTGTGTTGTAGCATACATCAGTATTTCACTATATTTTATAGATAAATAATATTTCAACTATGATATCCCACACTCAGCTTTTCTTTTCACCAGCTGAATTTGCATTAATTCCAATTTGTCTATTACAAATAATGCTGCTACGAACATCTGTGTATCAGTACATGTGTAAACACGTTTTCTATTCTCTTGAGTGTCTAAAGGAAGAAATGAAACTGTTGATTATGTGGTCTAACTTATTTGTTTTTGTTATTTGTATTTTTGGTGATGTATCTAAAAATTTGCATAGTACAAGGCTGTACAAATTTGTTTTTGTGTTTTGAGAGTTTTATGATAGCTGTCAGGTTTAGGCTTGCTATTATTTTGAATTAATTTCTACATGTAGAATAAGGTAGGGCTACAAATTCATTCTCTGCACATGAATATATATTTTGTTGAATCATTTGAAAAAAAAATTGTTCCCCGTTAAATTATTTCAGTATCTATATAAAAAGTCAATGGTCCAAAATTTAAAATATTTATTTTTAGTCTCACAATTATATTTCATTGCTATATGTAACTTTTTTGTGTGTGTGGCCAGCTCAGCCCACCCTGGGGGCAGGGCTGGCATGGCATGTGGTGCCAGGGATTGAACTGTGGTCCCTGTGCATTTGCCTAAGCTTGCCTAAGCAGGCACTTTAGACTGCTGAGCTGTCTCACCAGCCTTGCTATATGTATCTTTAGGTTATCACTATACAGTTTTGATTATTGTCTCTTTAGATTGCTTTGAAATTGAGATGGATGAATCCTCCATGTTTGTTTACGAAACCACCAATGTTTTTGCCTTTCAATATTGTTTCTTTACTTCATTTCTATAGTAAATTTCTATATTAATTATATTTTATGTTAATTTCAGAGCTTATAAATTTCCTTAAAAAAGCCAGTAAAATTATGATAAAGAACACACAGCCTATGGCTTAATTTTAGAGAGTAATGCCATCTTAACAATATAATCCTTTTTAATTTTATTATTTTTTAATTTAGAGAGAAAAAATCTCAAAAAAAATGGGGGAACAATAGTTAATACATTGACTATTGTTATCTTTAAAGTTGTTATTCAGAGTAGAAGGTATTGACATTTAATTGTCCAAACAACAGTAGCACAAACACTTTTTTCCTTTTTTCTTTTCTTCATGCCCCATTCCAGTTTCTCTTTTCTTTTGAATTTCTTCCATTGTACAATATCTACTGTACATTTTGGATCTTATTTACTCTTTCACCTTTTCACATAGGTAGACAACACGATGTTTACACATGTGTATATGGTTATTTCATTTATTACTATGGTCTCCTTTTGCATCCGTTTACCTATAAAGACTTGCAGTGTATCCTTCACAATATAAAGTCTTTAAAGGAATAAACAGTTAACAATGTCAGTTAATTAAATAAAATGTTTGTTTTGGTTTTGTAAGTCTGTCAGTTGGTCTTCTTAAATACTTATTGTAAAAGGTTAATACTCTATTTAATTCTTTATTTTTACCTCACTATACCTTACACCAAGTGGAAAATTTCTTGTTGACTCCTAACCAATATAGGAAAATAACAAACTTCCTGTTTCACATAAACATTATCTTAGGTTACAGGGAGTTTTCCTTCTCATTCCAGTTAGATGGCACTTAAAAGTTCTATTTAAGTCAACAGATACTAATTCTCTGAATATTTGGAAATGTTAACTTCAATTGTGAAGCTCTATGTGACAATGTGCTCTTGCATAACTCTGAACCAACTACACATTTGGAGCATCATGTCAGAAACTACAAACCTGAAGAGAACTCATTTTTCCATTTTTCCATCTCATATCCAAGACAAGAGTTGTATTCTTTCAAAATTGGCATTAGAAAAGTTACATTTCTTGTTATATAGGTCTTGCTTTATC